CTGTCAGAAGGCAACAAAATTTCTTTTTTTTCCCCAAAATCAGGCGAAAATTAATGCACGCGCTGATGTCATCCTTAAAATTACTTGCTGTGGCCTAATATGAATAACCCTGCTTGTTATTTACTTTGTTATATGACAACCAGAGACAAACATATAGAATTTAAGGTAAATCACAGTCTAGATTTGTATGGTTTTCGTTTGCTTTTTGCAAATTCACAATCGGAAGCATGTTGTATGTAAAATCGCAATGTTTATCATATATTATAGAGATATAGAGGGTCAGAAGTGAATATGATTCATCAAAGAATAAATTTGTATTCCCTTGATCATGATAATCACAAAAATGTGTCTCTATTTCATTTAATGATGTTTGAGTGTTTAAAAAAAATTGCACTATTCATCTTTGAATACTTCACTACTTACAGATCTTACTGCTAATGGGGGCTAACTATAAAAAACAAAGATTTTATAATTTTTCTGACATTTGTATGCCAAGAATGTCCAGCATACTATAATACATTTGATATGTTCAAAAATACCTACAAAAATATATTGATGCACTATTAAAAGTGCACATGAACCCGGTATTTCGAACCCTGTTGTTATTTCTTCACACAGTGATCTTGAATCTTGAATCACATGACAATTTCTTTTTCTGAGAGGCCAAATCATAATACAGTTTTGTTTATTTATTATTTATTTATTCAAGCTTTGCCACAAGTGGAAGGGAAGGGAGAAACAGGTGGAGACCACCTTTACAGGCTCCCTCCCCAAAATTTGTTGTTTTTAACATTTTATATTCTGAACTTTCCTTGAAAGTAACTTAATGCATTTCGGACTGTCATATGTTCCAAATCATAGTATCATCTGAAAAATCAGTAAAAATTTTGTCAGATACCAACAAATGCCAAATTTTGACTGTGCATGTATAGTATATATATTCACCAGTTTAACATAACAGCTAGAATTCATGATCATAATGAAATGTCTCTTCATTTCATCTAATTTTCCACTTTGAATGCTTTTATTTGCCCAAAACATTGTACGGTTGCTTTATTGATTGTTTAGTACCACCATATGTGGATTTTCTTTTCTTCACATGAAGGACAATTTTCTTCCTTATAATAGAAATGGTTTTTAAAAGGGTGGATGTGGATCATGATTAAGAAGATATCAGGGAAAACAGTTTGATCACAAATGCTGTTGAAAATATATCCCATTGCTATACAGAATAAAACAACAGGCAATATTACAAGTGCTCTCCTCAATAAGAAAATGTACTGTGTTCTCCGTCATATTTGCAATAAAAGATTAGTCACAACCTTAAGCTAGATATTTAATAGTTAGGAATGTCAACTCTTTCAGAAATGACAACAAATAGCAAGGAGGGCCAGGCCTAGCTGAATTTCAACAATGGCATTTAGAACAAAAAAATTCAGAGGATCGCAAACATGCCCTTTTCCAACATCTGATTTTCATTGTCATTTTGAAGGGTCTGCATGGGGGTTCCGATCGCGCTTTGCGTGCTAAATTCTGTAAGGAAGCGACCTCGATTTACATTTCAACGGTTAGTTTCACGTAGATTACATACATTATAACTAAGATATCAATCAGAGTTGTTCGACTTCAAATTATGCAAATGAATGGCAAGGCGCAAAATTCTGCAAAGCAACGACCTGTAACGTATTGAGCTTCACTTGTACTGGCTGGACATTTTATTACATTGATCATACACTGTATGATCTGTTATATGGTGAATAGAATGACCCGTCTGCTCATTATGTAAAACTAAAATGGCTGATTATGCATTGCGGCATGCAGACCCTATTTTTGAAAGAGTTTATGAATGAAAGCCAACTCACAGTTAAGTCGGATGTTCTCTTGTCTTGTACACAGTAACGCGGGAAAATCCTCCTGGAATTTATGGTCAGGAACACAGACAGGTCCTCCTGGAATGTGTACACAGGATAGCTGACAGGTCCCACCGCACACACAGGAACATGGTCAAGTATACAGTATCAGCTTCCCAAGCCTAGGGTGTAAAAGAAATACGCATTTAGAAAAATTACAGGCCAAATATGACAATCCTCACAGAGCATCATACATTGCAATATTCACATCATTTGTTTAAGTTACAAACATAATTTGAGTCAGGACTGTACTGGTAATTGAAATAAGTTTTTTCTACATGTCGGAAAATGCTTGAGAGATGATTCCCTAATATGCAAATGAGGACAACGATGATTCACTAACATGCAAATGCAGACAACGATGATTCACTAACATGCAAATGAGGCCCGCGATGATTCATTTATATGCAAATGAGGACCGTGATGATTCACTAACATGCAAATGAGGCCCGCGATGATTCACAAATATGCAAATGAGGACTGCGATGATTCACTAATATGCAAATATCGACAACGATGATTCACTAATATGCAAATAAGAACCACGATGATTCACTAATATGCAAATATCGACAACGATGATTCACTAATATGCAAATATCGACAACGATGATTCACTAATATGCAAATTAGGACAACGTTGATTCACTAATATGCAAATGAGGACACCAAGATGGCCGTTGCCAAAACGATGGCACACGTGAATGTGTATGCTGAATATGATGTCCATAGAAAAATCACGTTTGGAATCTGCAATTCAGCCAATAGGCTGCGAGAGAGTTTCTCAGTCTGAATAAACCATTCATTGATTCATTCATTCCTATGGTGCTACTGTATTACCATTTATAATGACATGCGTCATGCATATGTAATGTACTCATTTGCATGCTTGTGAGTTCTTACATGCGGCCGCTACCCATTCAGGTTGGCAGAAAAATCACAGATCACATCATGCATTCAAGCACAGCTCATATTGATAGAACGTAATGGGAAAAGCCAAAGATGCCACAAATATAAACCCTGTTGAAATAAAGCAGTAAAAGGGGCACAAACAAACTACTATTATAGTAATAAGGCTTTGAAAACAGCGGTTCTGAAAAAGCGCCCCTTAACGGCCGTTTTACTAAGTGCAGGTTTGAACACTGGCAACCGTCACCACGAATGCAGTAATTAATTCACGCAGTGTTTTAGATTTTGTTTTCCTTTATTGCCCACGGCATGCTCATTAACACCCCAGCGAAGTGAGGAATGTCGTGTTAAGTGCCTTTGTAGCAAATGAAACTCCCCCTTCCCAAGGGCACAAGGTTGGTGACAGGGCAGGATTCGAACCCGGGACCTCTTGGTTCTGAGCTGAATGCTCTGTCGTTACGACACACTACAGCTTCATTTTATAACAACAAGTTCGGTCCAAATAGTCATGACTATATAAAGGAGAATGTTAAGTGCGACTCACCTGACCTAAAGGAACGTAGCGCGTCTTCCAAGACGAATTTTACCGGAGCTCTTTCCCTGCCGTGCACATCGTCGCCATCTTCCTGCAGCGCGTGGTCTTACCACCTGGTAAGGAATCACATCACCATAATTTGCATATTCCCAAATTTAAGAATCAACATAATTTGCATATTCTCAATTAAGTAATTAGGTTAGATCAAACACGGGTGTGATCGTTTAGCCTTGGTGCAGTCCCGCATCGAACTGCTAGGGGCCGTTTTTGATCCATGCACTGCACAACATTCGCTGTCAACCTTCATGTACACATCATTTTACTTCGAAATAAGTAGTTTTAGGATATAACTGAACATGGTCCGTTTTGCCTCAACAACTTTTGCTTTTATTCAACTGCTTCTGTGAAGTAAGGGGCTCTCAGAGAACGTCACTTTGAAAACAACACGAGGTGTCACCCAACATCTGCTTGGAGACATTGCGCGGTCCTCATTTGCATATTTGTGAATCATCGCTCAAGCAGATGTTGGGTGCGAAAGATATGCGTATCCGATTTCTTACTTTGGGTTTTTTACCTACTGTTCATTCGCTTTGCAGAATTGAAGTTAGTGACTTAAGCTTGGGGTCGCCACAGTAAACACTCTCTTCTTTTGTAACTTTTGTTACATACAGCTCATTTATTTGAAAACAGCTTCTACTACCTGAATGGGCTTCCCTGCTGTTCTATGATGAAATAGATAAATACAATGAAAGAAGCAAGAAATAAAATTGGCATAAAAAATGGTGTAAGGTACATGGCTTAACAGAATAGTACTGCACATATATTCATCAAACAAAACACGGCTCTGAAATGTTTGAAAGCTTTTATTTCTTACACATATCCAAACATTTACCCCTACCACATCACAATAACAAGCTTAAACAACCTGTGAACAGTCTTCCCTTTGCAAAGCACTTTTGAGTTCTATAACAAACTGTATAACAATCTGTATGTTAAGTTTCTACTCAAAATTGCAATATGGCAAAACTTTTGACTATGCATGTAAGATATCCTGATGTCCTAACTTGTGTCCCATTCTGTTATCTACCTTGAAAGTTCTAAAGTAACCGAACCAGAAATAAGTGAACCATGAAGCACTGTGTAACCATGTAGCTTAATATGTACTGTAATCATGACACATGTAGTAGACTGAGTAAAATGGCAAACAGCTATAAACTTCTAAGACTATCTCAACAAAATGTAACTAAATTATAAAATGCTTATCAATTCGTAGATTTTACATAAAATCTCTATTAAATGCTCTTGATATTAAAAAAATACCGGTATTTGTCAAATTTTAAGAAGATTATAAAATTTTAAGATTTTTTTTTAAACTATGGTAATCTACTAAGATTTTACAATCATCAGATACTACAGATACACTCCTTTACTAAGTATGTACCCCTCTTGATACAGGGCCTGTACAGCCAGTCCCATGCTTGAGTTCCTGTTTCCATGCTGCTTCCACCTGACGTCCACTGAGTGATCACTACTAAACACTATAGATGGTAAACACAGTGACTATAGACAGGTTTGACTGCACATTTACAGTCTGATACAGACAAAGAGTTTGATACACAGATACTTGTACTTAAGGTGAAACCATTCTACTTGTACCCCTCTTGGTACAGAGCCTGTAGTGCATCCCGAGCTGCCTGCCTCCGAGCCGCTTTCTTGGAGCTGGCCTCGGCCTGGAACGTACAGTCTCCAACCACTGCTGCTATCTGAACCCTGGAGAAAGAGGGAAGAAATGAGAGATCAGATTCTATAGCTTCTATCCTTTCAAACTGTTAAACAACATAGAAAAGTCCTAACGGTTGAAACTCAGCTTACGCCTGCACTGTGCCAGTCGCGGCACTCAAACCTGAGTTCCTACAAGTCACAGTACCATTCCACAAAGACTGTTACAGATACTCCTACTTTCTTTGGAATGTCAGGGACTGGAACACGATCTCCCAGGCCATACCCAAAATACCAGAGGCCGACAAGTTCAAGGAAGCAGTTCTACTACACTTGAGGAGTCATTAAGAGCACAGCGCACCCCACCCCCCTCATGTCTTATCCCAACTCAATTTCTTCATTGCACTATTTCAAATGTACATCAGCAGGGGGAGAATAACTACTTCCCTGAATTGAGTACCATTTCGCATTTGTCACATAAAAAATTGAGAGACAATACATCTAAATGAGGTATATACTAAGACATATACAAGGTAATTAAAATATACACAATGTCCAAACTGATGGGTGTTACGCAGTACCTATTCAAGATTCAAGATGCAGGGTTCGAAATACTTGCTACAGATGACTTTAGGCCTTACCTGGGCCTGTGTGCAGGACCAGTAACTGAGATGTCCTGGAAACACATGGGCAGGTGGTTTCTCTGACACAGCTCATTCAGCTGGACTATGGGATGGCTCTGCTGGGACACTGGAACGGGCTGGGCTGCAGCTGGATGTAAGGGTGTACCACTTGGCTGGGCTGTAGGGAACACAAGACAAAATCAACATTTGTGGTTACAAAATCCATATAACAATAGTATGTATTGAGATATCGCCTCAAATTTTGTATAATAGTGCTTTATACATGACTTGTACTAAGCTTGTAATCACAAAAGGGGACTGCATCTGATATACAAGAGATATTCATGGCATTAATGAAAAAGAAAGAAAGAATCAGTATAGATACCTAAATATATAAACTTAAGATATCTACAAAAAACAGAGCAAACATAAAAGTCGCTCACCTGCCATCACCACTGGTCTGCTTCCTTGTGGAGTTACCATGGCAACTGACACCTGATGTTTGCTGACCTGGCCGACCTCTGACCCATCACAACCTCTGGCCTCATCCCCAGCAGCCTCCCTTTGACCTCTTGGTTCAAACTCTGACCCATCATGACTTCTGGCCCCATCCACAGCAGGCTCTTGCCCTCTGGATTCAAACTCTGAGCCATCATGACCTCTGGCCTTGACCACAGCAGCCTGCTCTTGACCTCTAGGTTCCTGAACCTCTGACCCATCATCACCTCTCACCTCGACCACAGCTGCCTTCCCTTGACCTCTGGGTTCTTGAACCTCTGACTTCTCTTGCTCCTGAGGTTTTTTCTCATCTGTAGAGTACAAAGCTTTTGGCTGGGTCCAAGTGCTCTGTTGTACTGGACCTGTTAGACTGGTCAAAGCACTGCTTCTTACCTTTTCTTCAAGGCGGACTTTTACGTCTACGTTACCAAACAAGTCTTGGATCTGTGAATCTTGTCTCAAGTTTGCAATTTTGTCTCTCTGTACTTGTAAAGTGTGGGCAAATCCTTGACTGGTTTGTGTTTCAGTTGTGCGGAAGATTTTACATTCTTGTTTTAAAACAGTCAGAGACTTTTCATCTGTTTTCAACTCCTTGGCACAGACCTTGCTCCGGCTACAGTTCTTCATCAGATCACTAGATGGCTCTTCGTTGCTGTCAGTATTCTCTGTGCCGGTAGGGCTATAGGCAACCAGTCCTGAGCAGCGGTCACTCACAACTGTGGTGTTTTCTAACATCTTCTCCTTCACATTACAACTTCTTGTATCCTCTTCTTTACAGTTTGTATTCTCTGCATTGTTGCTATAGGCAACCAGTCTGGAGTAGCTGTCATTCAAAACTGTTATGTCTTCTGCATTCCTGTCCTTCATATCATCACTTTTTGTGTCCTTTGATTCTGCTTTAGACCAATAGTCTATCCAGAAGCTCTTGGGTGATCTTGGTCTCTGCCATCTTGTACTTTCATTCTGTTCTCTCTTCTCAGAGATAAACAGACCCTCTGGGATTAAAGGTGATGTCACCAGTGCTTGGTGGACTTTCTCAGACTTCTGTTGTCTTCCCAAGTGTCTCTTGTATCCACCCTGTCCTGAACTGTCCATCTGGTGCACACTACAAGTGTGACCTGTTATGTGGTACCCCAGTTGATGGTGCACCAAACCTTCAGCACCAAGGACAGGACACATGTGGTGTGCTCTGTCATCAATGTCTGTGATTCTATGTTGTTTTGTAGGGCTGAAAGAAGCCTTTTCTCCCAGCCTAACCTTTTCTACAGCTTTCCTAGATTCAGGGCTGTTGAGGTTTGCTTGTCTGTTGTTCCTTATCAGTCCCTGACTGTAGATAGGGTTAGTACCCATGTGGTATGCTCTGTCGTCAATATTTGTCATTCTATGCTGTTCTTCTACAGGGATGAAAGAGGCCATTCTGCCAATGCTAACCTTTGCTACAGCTTTCATAGGTTCCAGACAGTTGAGATTTGCTTCTGTATTGCTTCTTCTCTCTTCCTGACTGCAAGCATGACCTCTTCCATGCTGCTCTTCGTGTAAGTTTGAAAGCATCAACTGCTGTGACCCATGACCTGCATGCCCTATGACCTCACCCCCGGTTACCCTGCTAGTGTCCTGTATTTCAGCATACACTCCTCTGCCAATGGTCCTCCTAGGATCTGTTCCAGTGTGTTGGAAAGATGAAAAGCTTTCCTTGGTGCCTCCAATCTCACTTGAGAAGCTTTCTGGTCCTGAGACATTTTTCTGTCCACCACATCTTCCTGCTATCTTTCTGTCATTAACTTTGTTCAACAACCAATCATGAGGGCAAGCTGTCAACTGTTGTTGTTTTCTCTTTGTATCTGTGTCTGTTAGAGGGAAATATCCACTTCCAGGAGTTACAGAAACAACAGTCTCAACCAGTCCTCGCCTGAAACCTGTGTGTTCATCCTCTTTGTACCCAGACTGTTCATGTATTGATGTACAACTTGTGCTTCTTTGCTGATGTTCCAAACTCTCCTCCAAAGAAAAGCAGGGGTAGAGATTTCTCTTTGCAGCTCTTAAAGAGCTTGGACTTTCCGTGCCAATACTTCTCAGTTCTTCCTCTATAGGAACAAGTATTGGTGGGTTATCACGGCTTCCCAATGTCCCAACCATGCACTGCTTACTGATAGATTCTGTTGCTCTATGTGGATAGAGTTTAGGAGGACCAGAGGGGGATGTTTTTATGGAATTCCTCCTTAAAACTGAGAGTGGGGTGTGTTGAGGATCTTTGTTGCTACCACATGTGCCACAAGAGTGTAACTGGTTCTGAATCTGTGCTGACTTGTCAACTGTGACATCTACCATCACATCTATGTCTGCCAAAGGTTCCCTCATCGACACACCATTGTCCTTTGTCCTCACAAAAGATGTCTCTGTTTGGTTCTGTAGTTTGGGGATGTCTTTGGTTGTTGTGGAAGGTCTGGGAAGTTTAGGTTTGGTGTTAGGTTCCTTTGTTGTACTGGCAAAGTAGCTGGCTGAGTGTTTGAGGATGTGTGGAGGTGTCTTGATAGTACTGATGTCTTTCTGTGTGTTTTTGCCAGTGCAGTCTTTGCTTGAATCAAGTAAGTTGTTGTCAAGCTTTGAAGGTGCAACACTCATCCTTTTTCCTCCACACAAATCTCCAGACTTCTGGCCAACAGTGAACTGACTTTTTCCTAGGTGTTTGCCAGAAAGTGAGTTCTTCTTAGGTATTCTGAAGTTTGAAAGTTCTACTTTCTTTGCTTCACAACTGGTACTGCTTATAGCATTATAGTTGCTGTTTTGGCTTTGCAAATTTCCCAAGGATGTGGATTTTGCTGCAGTAGGTTTTGTGTAGGAACTGCCATTTTCTGTAGACATCCTAACAGACCGTTTGTCTGTTAGGACTTGTTTCTTTACTGGTGTCTTCTTAACATACTTTCCACAAGGGCTGAGACACCTCCTTGTAGTAGTGATAACCTGTGAGGTCTGGTTGCTTGTCTTGCTCTGCTTTTTACTTGACAAAGATAAAGCAGTTGGTGAAGATTTCTTTCTTTCTGCATAGAAGGTGACGTCTTCAAGAAAGCCACTGTCTTGCTCTTGGAAAACACAGCTGATATCTTCTCCCTGTGACTTCTGGTTGCTTTTTCTGCTCTGCTTTTTACTTGGCAAAGACGAGGCTTGTTGAACTGTTGGTGAAGGCTTCTTTCTTTCTGTATAGAAGGTGGCGTCTTCAAGAAAGCCACTGTCCTGCTCTTGGGAAACACAGCTAACATCTTCTTCCTCATCTTCTGCTGTGGCAAGACACGTTCTGAACTGTGCAGGCACTTGAGTGGATGTGGACACTATTTCTCCAGAACCTTCTTCCTCTTCTTCACAAAGTGATGTCTGTGTTTCAAATCTCATACCATAAACCTGGCCACATTCTGACAGATTTCTGGTACTGGAGCTTGTCTTTGAAGTTCCTTCTTCTGTTGACCCATCAGTAGAAAGACTCCTGTAGGTCTGAGTAGATGGAACTTGATGCTTAGTTGGTTCTTTCTGCTGGGTAGTTGTGGTTGCTTTTTCCTGCCTTCTCCTAGTGGGTGAGCCATCAATGAAAAGACTCCTGTAGGCCTGGGTAGACAGTTCTTGATGCTTAGTTTGAGGTGGTTCTTTTTGCTGTGCAGTTGTGAGAGAAGGCCGTTCTTTCTGCTGTGTAGTTGTAGTTGTGACTGCTTCTGTCTGTCTCTTCCTAGCAGGTCCACCTTTCCCCTGTCCTAACATCATCCACCTGGTGGGTTTGTCGCAAACCTTCCTCACTCGCCCAGTGCGCTGCATGTGCAGTAACAGCCGGTGTGTCTCCTTGGGCTTTGAACCCAGGGCCTTTGCAACGTCGTCCCCAGTCATGACCAACATGCCCTGTGCTTCACATATGAAGTTCATCAGTTTGGTTTCCATGTTTCCAGAGGGTCTGTTAAGTGAAGGGGCAAGGGTGGTGGGCATGAGTGTGGGGTTGTGCTGTACAGGGTCTTTCCAACTTGTAGAACATGTACTGCTACAGTAGCCTTCTTTGTTTGGTGGTGTTGTTTTCTTTATTTTTCTCTTCTGTTCTTGGCCTGTCTTCTTTTTCGCTGTGGATGCAGCAGTTTTCTGGTAAGACACTGAGGCAGGCACTAGCTGTGTCCTTTTCTGTACTTGGGATGAAAGACCAGAATCTGTAGTACTTCTACCTCTGCAGTCTTCTCTTTTTGTGGTTTGTGTCTTTGTTTTCTTCACTTTCTTCTTCAGTCCTTGGACTGTGTTCGTTGCTCCAGCTTTTCTTTTCAGTCCAGTTGGGACAATTTTCAGGGGGGTGGACTCAGAATCTGTGTCACTTCTGCTGCTACAGTCTTTTCTACTTTGTGAGGTTTTCTTCTTCCCTTTCAGTCTGGATCCTTGGTCTGCATTCCTGAATGACTCAGGACCAACCCTCCTCTTCACTGCAGCAGTTGTTGTTGTCTTGCAAGACCCAGAATTTGAGGATGTCTTCCCAGTTTTGGACCCCTTTTGTCCAACACGACAACTTGTTGACATTTTGTTCTTGTTACCAGGTGGTCTTCCTACTGTTTTCTTTATTGGCGGATTTTCAGCAGCCTTACACTGGCTTGAGATGTTCTGGGTGGATGTTGGTCCATCTCTTGTTGCAGCCAGAGGTTTTGAGGAAGAACTGTGGTACTCTGGTATCTGAACACTGTGTGCTGAAGAAAAAAAGGAATGGTCTTTATGAACTGTCACTGAAATTATACATGTTTGCATCAGTGTTAAATGAGCAATATTAATCAATCTTTTTATGAACGACTGGTGCAACAATTGACAACAAATCTTCCAACATTCTCCAAACCGTTTAAAGCACATCAGAACTTCTTATGACAAATTTGAAAGCAATTTTCTATGGTGAAGTTCTCCTATCTATTACCATAATTTGTAGCTATTCAGAATCAGAGGCACTAATGTTTTATCTCAATTTGTACATTTGTTAGATTACTGAGAGTCTACTATGACTAGCTGCTAGGGGCTACTAACAATCATCATAAAGTGTTAGATAAATGAATTTATCAATTTCATTTCATGAGACATGTAGATGTTAACATCTTTATTTGCCAATTTTGTTTTAAAACTTACCTTCTCCTAAAGAGATTCCCTGGTCTTCTGTTTCATCTTCCTCTTCTTCTCCCTCCTGATTCCCTCCTTCTGTCGATTCAAGGACCACAGATGACCCCATGGCACAGTGTCCACTGTCCTGAAATGGACAAATGGGAATATCTTTAGTTATCAAACAAGTTTTAACTGTATGTGATTTCCAACTCAAGAAATTGGACTAGCCAAAATTTTGATTGTACAACTCCAGTCTTTGTCAAGGAATAAGCAATTCACCACTTCTGTGACATGGTGTTAGTAGAGCATCTGACTGTTAAGCAAGGAGACACAGGTTCAATCCCCAGGGTTGGACCCAGACATGCACCCAGACATTGTGCCCTTGGGAAAGGCACTTCACACATATTTCCTCCCTCTGTTAAAGGTATCCTAGGCCCTGGCTAGTAGGGTTTGGGTTGGCATTAGGATCATAGAAATTAAAAAAAAATATTGCTTCAAGAAAAGACTTGCACTTTATTCAAGAATGTCTAACCCCAGGCGTTTTGGGGAAAAATGAAGTCAAAATTGGAGAAAAAGAAACAAATCTTACATTTCTTCCTTCCTCGTGTGTTCTGGATCCCCATGTAGACTTCTTGGCGGGTGTGTGCTGTGTCAGACAGGCAGGTTTAGGTGCAGCTGGCCCATGGAGGTTCCTCCCTGGGTATGTCTGGAACTTCATACGCCACGTGGTGAAGGGGCCAGTCTGGGGGAGAGAGGGAGGGAGGTAGGGAATAATGGACCTATACCATTATTACGTCACAGTTTGTTTACCTGTTCTAAAGAACATTCTAGAACGGTCAGTTAAAGAATAAAGATCATTTCAAAGTTTTTAAAGTGAGTTATGTCTGATTTTTGCTGCGTCTAGTTGTGTTGACACAGCATTACATGCCGCATGGGTGATTTAGTTGTGACATTAGACGAATTTCAAAGTAGTACTGTATTAAAAGCCTTATATTAGGCTAACGCTACACAAACACACACCGCGCTACGCACCCCTGTACAATATAAACGTCGATTGACCGGCATTCATTGCGGTAAACAAACTGTGACGTAATAATGGTATAGGTCCATTAATAATGTTCACTTCAAGTCAACGTTTCAGGTTAAATATTCTGCCATTTGTGGCATAGTGGACTTACACCACTTGAGCCTACATAACATCAACCCACAGGACAGAGGCAAGTGGCGGGCTGCCATCAAGCCTGACAGTATTGCTGTACAAGCATGTCTAACCGATGGAAGATGGGGAACAACAGACACTAAACTCGCTAGGCTGTTGAGCTTAGGAACTCAGGCATTTTGAATCCTAGTGGGAGACCGGATTAGCCCACATATTTTTTTCCTGAAAAATGCATTGAACTAATCGGGTTCTGAATCAACTCCAAAATGCTTGTATTTTGTCAGCAAAAAGAAAAAAAAGCTCTTGTCTTCCTAGCTATTAGCTAGATTTTCCATTCATCAATACAAAGCCAATCAATGCAAAGATTACAAGTTCAAAATTCATTGTTTGAATTATTAACCAGCCTGATATGTTTCCTAGGCCTGTTTTTAAATTGGTTCTACATCATTGATTTTCCAGCAAATCTTAGTGTGGCACACTAGTAAGAAAAATGAGTGTTGAAAGAACTTGTCCTGACAGGTCCAACATAGCATGGCGGCTACATCAAAGGATCTAGCTTCTTTCTTGAGTCTTTCACCCCAAAACTGTGACCCCAAACATGCCAAATCTTATTTCGTGACGTTCTAAAAACAACTACAATTCTATGACACAGCTAAAAACGCTTATATCTCCCCCTCTACTCTAAAGAGGAGCCAAAAACAACAACAGATAGCTAGAAACCTTGGCACAGCTGTCCCTGTCCTTGGTGCTGAATGCCATCCATATTGCTCTAACATTGATTAAATGTGTGCTAGCACCCTGGAAGAAATTACAGCATCCAGAAATCGTTTAAACTTACTCTAACATTTTGTTACCACATCACAAGTGAAATCTCGAAGCTTGCCTAGGTTAAGGACACACAATCTATGACTATTTTCGTCCCAAACTTCGCACCAGCTCCCTGTACGTTTGTTTACATTTGATAGCAGTTGTACAGTACCACAACAAGAGAAAGAACTCGCCAGAAAATCGTACCTGAACCTTTTCCACGAAACCTGATCGCCATAATCTCGCTAGCTGCTGCCCTACGCTCCGTGTGTCGAGTCCCAAGGCGGTTGCCACGTCGATAGATCGAAAATGGAGACCGGCATTTGAGGCAAAGAATTGGCAGATCCTGTCTTTCTTTGCCAAACCTTCGTCCGCCATTTTGCCCTTGTAGTTCGTTTTTGGAATGGCGCCCTCTCATTGGTCAGAAGTACAGCAGCGTTCACTAAAAGCGACGCCTAGCAACTTGCTATGCTATTGCAGGTTAAAACGACTGTATGCTGCAATTATTTTATTCATTAATTATCTATTTCTTCTTGTACGAGGGCCTAAGATGATTGACAACTACTGCTGCCCTGCTCGGAAAGATTTTATTCGCCATGTGGCCCTTGCTGTTCTTGTCACAGTCCTGGAATGGCGCCTTGTGATTGGTCAAAAGTCTGGAGCATGTCACCGCGACAGAGCAAATGCTCCATACTTCTGACCAATCACAAGGCGCCATACTGTGTGTCACTGACGGCTATAGAACAATGATGCTGATTGGTTCAAACCGTGAATACGTTACCCCAGTTGAGTTGAAAAACGTCACAGGGAATTCTTGATGCTGGTTGGCCCAATCTTAGTGACGTTGTATATCTAAATAAGGGCAACGTTCGAAAGCTCTAAGGTCGTTCTGTTTTTCTGTCAACATTGGTAGGGTCGTACAGTATAGTTGAAACTTTGGGAAGTTTAAAAGAAATCTCTTTTTTTTCAACGAACGAAAGCGTTCAGGACTCCAGATCAGCAACGTCTTTATTTGGACTTATACCTCCATGGACTGACGTTACAATATTGCCGCTTTTCACTTGGAAAAGATGGAAAAGGACACAAAGATTCAACCGGTCGATATCAGCGAAGCGTGAGTTGGTATAGATGAAAGTTTAAGAGTTAAAGAATCTTTTTACTTCCACAACCTGTTATTGTTCAATGACTGTTGAACATAGCTATATCCGCGCGTATTTTAAGAGGTTACAGAAAATGTCCCCCTCCCAAAGATGCGGTCAATGTCATAAGCATAATTTGTACTTCATTCATCTGAAAAATGATTGACCTTGTGGACTCTTGGAGCGCTTGTTCGTTGCGTTTTGTGTCAGATTACTTGCATAACAATGGACTGTCATTTATGACACACACAGAAAATGATTCCTCAGTAAAAAAAAACAAACTTTTGGGTGAAATGTTTAAAATGTTCAAGGGCATTTTGCTCACAATCGTCTGGCATTCGAATTCTGTATCGAATTCGAACCATGTTCGCAAGTGACCTAGAATGTTCGAAACGGTTGCTAGGCAACCCCAACTGACTAGTAGCTGATCTGATTTTCTGTCCCGCTCACGATTTGAGCTGAGTTTTGGGGGGAAAAAGAGGAAAACTCCAGAAAAAAATCTAGTGTCTATCACTCTATTGAGAGCTGCTTCAGTTTACAAGATGAACAGGGGCTATCCGAAATGTGTCTTTTTCCGAATGTCTGGGAGATAGCAACGTCCAAACTAAATAAAGACTAAGACCAAGATTAATACATCAGACAATTCTGTTATTTTCAAAATCCACATATTGTACACATCTTGATTACAATCAATGGATTACAATACTCAAACAGATTAAAATGTTGCAAAAGGTTGAATGTACACTGTAAATCTATTTACAGAGCATTTACACAACATTAGAAAACAATCGAAGGTAACATTAATATTAACTGTAATTCTAATAAAGTACAGTTTGAATGATCTCAGAATAGATTGACTTTTACTTCTGTCAATCAATACTTGGATTGTCACAACACAGGATACAGGCTTCCCTTACAACTCTTCATAGTCAGTCACTACATGTATATGATGCTGAAAATTAGGAAAATATTCATTTCATCAATTTGTACAAAAGAATGTAAAATATCTTACAATATTACAAAATTTACTCAAAAGATTTACATTCTGAAGTAATGTGTGCTATGTACAGTTCATATCCATTCAATGCATTTACATATCATGATATGTATCTAAATTAAACACATTCAAAACATTTCTCATAAGTATAAAATGATCTTCTTTTGTACATGTACATTGTACCATGAATAGTCCAAAATTTGCTGCAAAAATATAATCTCAAATGATTTAGAATCAATTAATAAATGATATGTACAATGAACCATGAATTGTCCAAAATTTGCTGTAGAAATCTCAAATGATATAGAAATTGCAATATATATCAACTAAATGACATTCTGTTGCATTTACAGGCTAGATAAAATTGCTCATGGGAGCTCAATTAAAGTAAAGTGAGTAAGTAAGTAATAAAATGCTGAAAACCATGTACCATTAACCTACAGTCTAGCCTGTTCGCAGCCCATGCAGCACCCCACATCTACTTGCATGGCAGCAAATGGTAGATGACTTGCTTCTGGGTAGAGAAGGTTTAAAACAGGTCACCACTGAGTTCTGTAACATAAGAGGAATGATACTAAAGTTAGTACATTTGTATATGCACTTAGGACAACTAGCATTTAGGGACTTAGGTCTGAATGGTAAATGAATTGTTACTGCTTTGTGATTGCTTCTATATCTTACTAATTATTACTAACAACTTGCAAATTACTTTGCAGTCACTAAATTATAACACACCTTACAAGCCCTCTGCTGTCCACCGTTTACCAATGTTGATAAGTGCCTGCTTCAGAACCTGTAGAGTAGCTCCCCTTCCCTCCCTGTCTCTCCACCTGCGCAGCATTTCCCTACATCTGTGGTCCTGGTCTATTTTGGAGTTGTGGATTCCATCTATCTGGTTCTCACTGAAGCCTAGCTTCCGGGCCAGGTCGTCCCACTTGTGGCTCGTTGCCTCAATAACTTTCTCAAATGATTCTTCCATGTCAACAGCCCCTGTAGTGTCTGCCCTGACTGCACTTGGTCCTGCTTCCTCATCTCTTTGATGCATTTTTAATTCTTTCCTCTTCTTCTTTGGCAATGGTGGGCTAGCCTGTGACCTTTTCTTAGAGTGGCCTTTTGTCTTGCCACCTTTGCCTAATATGAAAAAAAGATTACTATCAAAAACATTACTATCATCCAGACACTGCAAAAATCTTGCAAATGTCATCATTTTCTTTTGAACTTCTCAGTCTTCTTTTTGGGGGTACTACAGTTCACATGAGGAACTTGGATCGGCCATGGATTTAGGTTTATGTATTTTATGTGCTACTGCTAGGCAATTCAAATTTTAGCAATCTACTATATATAGAAAAATTATACAAACATACAAGGTACATATACTTACTTGGTGTGATATCATCTTCCTGAAACAGAAAATACAAGTCATTTAGACAAAATAAAACAAGATGACAGCAATTGCCTGTTTGCAGTTCTTTTTCAATCCAGTCTTTGAAAAAGGTAAAGTTTTGGCTTCTCTACCCATTTCCAGCTGCAGATTAAGGGACAACAAAAAGAACATGATTGTACATTCTGTGAAAAATTGAATGCTATCACCTTAGATTATGTCTTACCTCTTGGAAAATGAACTGACACACAGTCCGAAATGATGGCTTTTTTTTTACATCCACCTCGCCTTTGACGCAGTCTCCATTAGGTCTATCCAGGAGCATTTGAATGTTCTGGCCATATTTGTTATGACACGGATTGGATCGTAGTTCCAATGGCTTGGATTCGCTCTGGCCTCCACGGACACTAACAGCAACTTCAAGCACATCCCCATGGAAAAGATCAAACATTGCTAAATTGCTTCCACACTTGGTGAAGCCTGGGAGGTAGTCATCTGTCTCTACACTCTGGTCTCTACAGACGACGTGGAAATGCACATCATTTGCCATGGGCTTGATGTATGCAGCAAACCGACAATCCAGAGTTCTTGACGACAGTGCATTAACAATCATCTTTCCTACCGAGATTACCGCTTCCACAGGAGCCCACACATAAGCCACAGGACTGAAGGATCGCAACGAAATTGATATCTTGTCCGGATACATGCGGCAAACTGTTGAGGCAGTGATGTCTGTCCAGCCTTCTCCATCATGATGCTTCAGCAGAAGACACTCCATGCCTTCCGAACCCGAAGGCCGCCACGTCTGCACTTCCAAGTCTCCATTTAACTCAGCACCGTGTAGGTTGACATCGACGGCTGGGGAGAACAGTACCTGTTCCAGTAGCTCACGTGGGCAAACATCCTCACCCAGGGACCAGGGGTAGCCAGAGGTCCAGTTAAAACTCTCAGAATCCCTGAGGATAGCTGCAACATCTACGGTCGAGATGGTTATCATTGTGTCTTGCTGAAGGACTCCTGGTGGTACAACAAGTTTGACAAAACCAGGAATCTCCAACTCTCCGCCTGTGGGTCCTACTGCAGCCTCTGTTGTCTTTGTGTACTTCAAATCTTCTGGCACATCTACATCATTAAATTATACAAAAACATTCATTTTTTGGTATCAACATTAGAAAACAGAAACTGTCAGTGTTTGACAGCTGTTGAGTTAAAGTCTGAATATATCTTACACTTTGGGATCAACTTTGAAATTGCTAGCTTCCAAGACAACATAGCAACTACATGTATAACTAATCAATAGTTTAAAGCTTAGTGGGGCTTACCAGGCAACTAGCAACTGTAGATAAGACCTACATGTACAGCAGAGCACACAAAATTTGTAAATCATCATTTAAGAATTTAGGAGGGCCAAAAGGGAGAAAATCAAAATTGATGCTTTTCAAAGCTATGTTCTTTCTAAACCTTGAAAATCCTACCTACTGTCTAGTTCTTTATGTGGATTGTTATTACTATGAAGTTATTACATGTAAGCATTCATTCCACCAGAGATTCTAATTAGTACTTACCATGATTATAGTGACTGTCAAAGTAGTTTAAAAGCTAACCTGAAAGGTCTCGCACAACAGAGGGAAAGCTGATCCCAGCTGCCGTCATGTCCTTTTCCAGCATTCTAAGGTCACCTGAAATAGTAAAACTGATTTAGCAAATCTGACTTCAAGTTCAGAATTGTGTAAATTTAACATTTAAAAGCAACATCTGCAATCTTCAATGTGGTGAATGGAAACCATGCATACCTGTTGGAATGTATTCATTCTTCATGTCCTTAATCAAGTCAGCTGGCACCCCAGACCCTGGACTTTCCTGTTTCCCCGTACGTGCAGACCAAACCCGCATAAGCAGCCTTACATCTGTTTTGTCCAGCCGGCTGAAAATGGTGTCCAACATCTGCTCAAACTCTGCAGAAGATACCAGGATGCAAACAGCAGATTGAATCAGATAGGGTTACTCCAGAAGTAAAAGGCCACTGATTCATTGAATAAGAATATTAATTCGATTCATACATTTCCTTTACCAAGTACACAAAAAGTCAGTACTATTGCCTTAGGTCCATTTCCAGGTAAATATTCTGTATAAAGTTCTATTTCAGCAAAGAGCAGTGTAACAAGAAAGCAAAATATTAGCTGGACCTGAATAGGAAATAATCATTACAAATGAAGCCTGGGCACCCTAACACTAACTACATTTGAACAACCAATTTGTTACAAACAAGGAATTTAAAACTTTTCTTTCCACCTGTTGTCCTCGAATCCATCCTGATCCCACTTGGTCCTGCTCCGTCAACTCTTTGGACCTAAGTAAGTAAGTAAGGGCTTAACTTGACGATTCCATCATTCTTTTCTGCATATCACCTGACAATAGTATACAACAAACACCAACATTGCATATCCATTAACAACTAACTTATTTATATATGTATGTCTCAGTGTCGAAGAAGACAAGGGGTTGCTCTTTGGTAAATAAAATTAGAGCTGTCACATTTAGGAAGGACAATCTAATAGCATTACAAAACTGTCAGTGTAATTTTTTTATTTAACCCTATCTATAGACTACGTAGGCTTTTAAAGTTAAACACATATAATGGTAAGGGGGACACACCTGAAAGTAAGTCTACCTAGCCTACCTGTCTGTCCTTTGCATTCACATCTGCACCAGCTGCCAGTAAAGCTGATACAGTTTCATGATGACCATTCAGGGCTGCCAGGTGTAGGGGAGTCATAGACTGTAAAACACATCACCAAAGTTCCTTTAGACCATGTTTACATTTTAAAAATTGAACTATTTTAACAGTCAAATTGTTTCAAAATTTATGACATTGATTCAATTTTTGGAATGTGAACACTATCTGTGGCCTGTCAAACTGCCCCTACAGATTCCAGCTATGAGATTGATGAAGCACACTAATATTTGTTATTGACAGTATTCAATTAGACCAAGGAAAAAAATGTTGTGTCTGGTTTTACAACTGACCGTACAAAATGCTGCAGCTGCTATTTAACTGACTTACAGTTTCACGGTGACCACTCAAGCCTGCTGCATACAAGAACCCTGGTGCACTCCGATCTGCACCAGCTGCCAGTAAAGCATCAACAGTTTCTTTGTAGCCACTCCGGGATGCCTGATGCAGGAGACTGTTTTTCTGTAAGCACATCAGAACATCATCAATAATATTGGTAACAGGACAAAATGATATATCAATGTCTGGATTGACAATTTATTTAAGGTCTCATTCATGTATTTTGCCAAGTGGGTACCATAAAAGAGTAACAAGCAAAAAAGTAAATGGCTGTATAAAAGTGTGTTCATATCAGTGAGAAATTTTTTAAGTTAGCCTAACTGATCTAAAACATTAGGGTGAAAGCTTGTTTGTAACGAAAGAAATTTGCATGTGTAATTGTTGGCAGCTCTACGCATATACGTAGTACTGGTTCAAGTTGGTAATAATAATTATTTCTTTTATGGTGCTGGATGAATACGGTCAACATAAAAGAATAACCAATAACATTAGTTTTCTTTACATTGTAATGTAACGCTTACTGTAAAAAGATATATTACATGACCACATTAAATTTCCTGAGACATGTTGGTACAGGAACTGCCAATCCACCTACCTCACTGGCACTTAATGTGTTCACATCTGCACCAGCTTTCAGTAAAACTGATACAGTTTCTAGGTGGCGATTCTCAGCTGCTAGTCGCAGGGGGGTTTTAATAAATTCTGCAGGCCTAGGGAAAAACATGATGCTTCCCTGTAAAACACAATGAGATGAACATGATCTTCAGTCTGGGAACAAGACGTATTTAAGTACAAAATACACATTTAAGATTTTACCGGTATCTTACATGTAGAAATGTAGATTACGTATAGTAACGCACCACTGTGACAACAGTTGATCCACCCACCAGCCTGTCATTTTTGGTAGATTGTAGCTGTCTGAGACTACCTCTCAGTCTACAAAATCAATGACATAATTGTAAAATCCACCTTGAAGGTAAAGAACGTGCTATATTTATCATCAGTCTACCATTCAAAGCTAGTGTGTTACGACAAAGGGCAGTTGGTTATACCAGCTATTATTGATACAGACACCGACCCTATAATTGTCCCATACATTCACATCTGCACCAGCTGCCAGTAAAGCTGATACAGTTTCTTGGTGATCATTCTGGGCTGCCAGGTGCAGGGGAGTCATTCCCTGTAAACACATATTATGCATGAGAATTAAGTATGGCAACAGAACAGCCTGGAGCACATTATTTTGGACATTATCAGTTAAGCTGTTAGTGTTAAATCTTCACTGCTATAAGGTGCCATTCTATTTGGTACTCCAGGAACATGTGATACACAACATTACAGTCAATCTACCTACCTTCCCGTCCCGTGTGTTCACATCTGCACCAGCTGCCAGTAAAGCTGATACAGTGTCATGGCGGCCATTCTCAGCTGCCCGGTGAAGGGGAGTCCTTCCCTGTAAACACATGAGATGGTCTTCAGTATGGCAGCAGGACAGACTGGAGCACATTATTCTTGACATGATTATAAATTAGCTGTTAGTTCTTCACTGCCATTCCATACAATACTCCAGCAACATCAGATGCACAACAACAGTCAATCTACCTACCTCCCTGTCCCGTATGTTCACATTTGCACCAGCTGCCAGTAAAACTGATACAGTTTCATGGTGGCCATTCTCAGCAGCCAGGTGCAGGGGAGTCCTTCCCTGTAAACACATGAGGTGGTCTTCAGTATGGCAACAGGACTGACTGGAGCATATTATTCTTGACATTATAAATTAGCTGTAAAGTCTTCACTGCTATAATATTTAAAGGTGACATCCTACATGTATATGATACTCCAGAAACATGTGATACACAACAACAGTCAATCTACCTACCAAAGTGTCCTGTATGTTCACATCTGCACCAGCTGCGAGTAAAACTGATACAGTTTCATGGTGGCCATTCTCATCAGCTGCCAGGTGAAGGGGAGTCCTTTTCTGTAAACACATGAGATGGTCTTCAGTATGACAACAGGACAGACTGGAGCACATTATTTTGGACATTATCAGTTAAGCTGTAAGGTCTTCAATGCTATAAGATTTAAAAGTGATATCCTGTATATGATACTCCAGGAACATGTGATGTACATGTACAACAACAGTCAATCTAACCAGGAACCAGTCCTGTGTGTTCACATCTGCACCAGCTGCCAGTAGAGTTGATACAGTTTCATGGTAGCCACTCCGGGATGCCTGAAGCAGGAGACTGTTTTTCTGTAAGCATATCAGAACATCATCAATGATATTGGCATTCACATAGGACAAAATGATACATGGACATTATTTGAGGACATACATGTATCATGCCGAGTGCGTACCCTAAAGGAGGCACACCAGTTTATTTTGGGTCTCAATTCGATTCTGCATACCCTCAACTCTAGCGACCGTCTCTTTCAGGAAATACCTCTTAAGCCAAAACAATGTGTTTGCAAATGAAGGATATCCCTCTAGCTACGAGAACAATAGATTTCAATTTCTTTCACCTCTCACATTTTAGTAAATTTTAGGGGGAAAAAGAATTTTTCGATGAAAAATGATGCCAAAAATTGGCCATTTTCACGTGGAATTAGACCCATCACCCAGAATTTAGCCACTAATATGACTTATGTGGTTGAAAAGAGATTTTATGTATTATTAAGAAAAGTATAAAGAAAATCCTAACACTGAGATTATCACTGTGCACTGTGACAATAGCGCGTCGCGAGAGGCATAGCGACAGCACCCCCAGAACGCATACAATGCATATCTAGGTCAAACCGAAGCACCGCGCTCAAGGCGGAAGGACACCCGGAAGTAAGCCTCGGACCCAAAATCAATTTTCACCCAAAACACGCCACTTCTTACACTTTCCAGCCATGTTAGTAGTTAATACCATTTTGCAGCAGATTATGAGAAATGTATTACAACTCAAACATGAACCACCGGAACCCCTTCGTCACTTTTTTTCCCGGCACTACCTCAGACCCCTGTTGCGGAAGAATTGGTGTGTGCACCGTGAAAGAGTAACGAGCCAAAAAGTAAACGGCTGTATGAAAGTTTGTTTATATCAGTGAAAATTTTCTTTTAGTCAGCCCAACAAGTCTAAAATATTGAGGTGAAAGCTTGTTTGTAACCTAAGAAATTAGCATGTGTAATTGTTGGCAGTCGCATATGCTACATGTTGGCAATTTTTTGTATGGTACCGGGTAAATGTGCTCAACATATTACAATGACTCAGATATCAATACATTTCCAGTAGTTTCCTTAGGAATGTGGTCATGGAAGAATTAAATAAGCCACAATGTAAAGAAAAACTGAATGAATAAATTTAATGTCCTTGAATACAATTGTGTTGGTGACAATATCAATACTTTCAATATCGCATTTGCTGCACTAGCCAAATCAGACATGTTGGTACAGGAACTGCCAATCCACCTACCTCACTGGCACTTAATGTGTTCACATCTGCACCAGCTTTCAGTAAAACTGATACAGTTTCTAGGTGGCGATTCTTAGCTGCTAGTTGCAAGGGTGTAAAACTTGCAGGCATAGGGAGATACCGTTGAGTGCTTCCCTGTAAAACACAATCAGATTCTGATGATCTTCAGTCGGGGAACAAGACAAATTGTACTTCAGTACAAAATATGCATTAAAGATTTTATCTTACACTCACTCACTCTCTCACTCACTCACTCATACACTTACTCTCACCCAATCTCACCCATTGGCACACTCACTCACTCACTATCCGGTTCATTGTTCCCCATCATCCAAGGGTTAGACGTGCTTGCACACTGATGCTGGATGTAGATTATGGTTATGTATAGGAAGTGAAACACCACACCACTGTTTATCCACCCACCAGCCAGGATGTCTTTTTAGGTAGATTGTACATGTAGCTGTCTGAGTCTACAAAATCAATGAATTTGTAAAATCCACCTGTCCAGTTCTTGAAGTTACAACAGTCTACCAGCCCATGCTGGAGTGTTATGCCAAGGCGCGATCGGTTACACGTATACCAGCTATACAGAATCTGATACAGATACCTACCCTAGGCCTATGAAGACTATAATTATAATTATTGTCTGTTGCAGGTTCTTCTTTTTGATTCTAGTGAATAGGTCAACACACAGGACTTTTGTGGAGCATCGAGGTTTAATGTGTTTCCTCCAGGACTCTAACTCCGGAGTGAGGTTCCAGGGTTGGACTATTCTACTGTCAGATTGGGGGGTTTTACAACAGGACTGTTCTTCTTCTAAAATAGGGTTGATTCTTGTGTGGTAATGGACAAATGGTATACAGTGGGTTCACAACATACCTCCCCTCACACAGGAGGATTGACATGGTCAATCTGAATAATAATAATAAACAGTTGAACCCACTGGTTAATTACTTAATAAAAGTTACAGATAGCATACATATTGTTGTACATCATATCAAGGTATACAGAAATGCAAATTTTTCAGCTCAGGAAATATCAATTCAATTGTAAAATCATATATGGATTGAGTAGCTGCTTTGTAGATACACATGTATGAGTTGTACTTGGCTGACAAAGAGATCCAGCTGAATGCCTGGCACACTGAAGCACAATTTGATACAATGTCTGTGACTCTCTACTAAGACTATGGTTATGAGGTATTTAAACAACTATTACAGAAAATCTAACAATTGGAACAACAAGGTAGCTATTTGAACATCAGAAGACAAACTCTGGTTAACAAAGAGACCCAGTCGAATGTCTGGCACACTGAACACAATTTGCTACAATGTCTACCAAATAATAAACAGTGCACAATGTACAATGGAAAATCTAATAATTGGAACTATGTAATTATGGAGGTAAAAAATATGGAACAAGGTAGCTATGATGTCATCAGAAAAACAAAACTGGCTAACATAAAGAGAACCAGTTGAATGAAACATACATACATACATTGTATATACATACAATGTACATACTATTACGTAAAGTTTAACACAAGGTGCATGAGCTTTCAGTATCATGGCAAAAGAACACACATTATTTTGGACATAATCAGTTAAGCTGAAAGGTCTTCACTCATTATTTGTATAATGTATGGTGGGAGGGTTTTAGAGCCTAAAATGTGTTATACAGGCGTATTGTACCAAAGTCAAAATTTCTTTTGGAAATGGCCAGAATTAATTTTCTTGCATTCCTAAATGTGTCTAAAAGATTAAAATTATGTGATATCCCATATTTGATACTCCAGGAACATGTGATGTAAGTCCTTACCACAACACTCAATATACATGTACCTACCTGCCTGTTCACATTCTGCATTATCGCAGTTAAGCTGTTAGTGATATGTCTTCACTGCTATAAGGTGCGGTTCTAGTTGATACTCCAGGAACATGTGAGACACAACACAACAGTAAATCTACGTACCTCACTGTCCTGTATGTTCACATTTACACCAGCTGCCAGTAAAGCTGATACAGTTTCATGGTGGCCATTCCCAGCTGCCCAGTGAAGGGGAGTCCTTCCCTGTAAACACATGAGAATGATGTTCTTCAGTATGGCAACAGGACAGACTGGAGCACATTATTTTGGACATTATCAGTTAAGCTGTTGATGTACAACAACAGTCAATCTACCTACCTGCCTGTCCTGCATGTTCAAATCCGCACCAGCTACCAGTAAAACTGATACAGTTTCATGGTGGCCATTCTCAGCTGCCAGGTGTAGGGGAGTCCTTTGCTGTAAAACACATGAGATGGTCTTCAGTATGTCAACAGAACAGACGGGAGCATATTATTTTGGACATTATCAGTTACGTAAGCTGTAAAGTCTTCACTGCTATACTGTGAAATCCTGTATATGATACTCCAGAGATATGTGATATCCTTACAACAACAGTCAATCTACCTACCAACCCGTCCTGTGTGTTCACATCTGCACCAGCTGCCAGTAAAACTGATACAGATTTAAGGTGGCCATTCCCAGCTGCTAGGTGCAAGGGAGTCCTCTGTAAACACATGAGATGGTCTTCAGTATGGCAACAGGACAGACTGGAGCATATTATTATAGACATTATCAGTTAGCTGTAAGGTCTTCACTGCTATAATATCTTAAAACTTAATTAAAGATGACATTGTACATGATACTCCAAGAACATGTGATGTACATGTACAACAAGTTAAATCTACCTACCGAAGTGTCCTGTATGTTCACATCTGCACCAGCTGCCAGTAAAACTGATACAGTTTCATGGTGGCCATTCTCAGCTGCCTCGTGTAGGGGAGTCATTCCCTGTAAACACATGATCATGAGATGGTCTTCAGTATGGCAGCAGGACAGACTGGAGCACATTATTCTTGACATTATAAATTATCTGTAAAGTCTTCACTGCTATAAATTATTTATAGACAATCTACCTGCCTGACCCGCGTGTTCACATCTGCACCAGCTGCCAGTAAAGCTGATACAGTTTCATGGTGGCCATTTCTAGCTGCCTCGTGTAGGGGAGTCCTTTGCTGTAAACACATTTTAAGTCTTCAGTATGACAATAGGACAGACTGGTGCACTGTGATCATGATTATTCTTGACATTAGAAATTTGCTGTTAGGTGTTCACTAGTAGCTGTTATAAAATCCTATATGAAATTACTCCAGGAACATCAGATGTACAACAACAGTCAATCTACCTACCCAACTGTCCCGTGTGTTCACGTCTGCACCAGCTGCCAGTAAAGCTGATACAGTTTCATGGTGGCCATTCCCAGCTGCCAGCTGTAGGAGAGTCCTTTCCTGTAAACACATAAGATGATCTTCAGTATGGCAACAGGACAGATAGACTGGAGCATGTTTCTTGACATTATAAATTAGCTGTAATTTAGTCTTCACTGCTATAATATTTAAAGGTGACATCCTACATGTATATGATACTCCAGAAACATGTGATGTACAACAACAGTCAATCTACCTACCTGCCTGTCCTGTATGTTCAAATCCGCACCAGCTGCCAGTAAAGCTGATACAGTTTCATGGTGGCCATTCTCAGCTGCCAGGTGCAGGGGAGCCTTTAGCTGTAAAATACATTGTACATGAGATAGCCTTCAGCTATATGGTAACAAGACAGACTGGAACACATTATTCTTGACATTTAGTTAGCTGTATCATCTTAGGTCTTACTTTTATAATCTAAAGGTGACATCCTACATGATACTCCAGGACCATGTGATGTACAACAAACAGCCAATCTACATGTACCTACCTCCCAGTCCCGTATGTTCACATTTGCACCAGCTGCCAGTAAAGCTGATACAGTTTCATGGTGGCCATTCTCAGCTGCCCAGTACAGGGGAGTCATTCCCTGTAAACGCATGAGATGGTATTCAGTATGGCAACAGGACTGACTGGAGCACATTATTTTGGACATTATCAGTTAAGCTGTAAATTCAGTGCTATAAGGTGCCATTACATATGATACTCCAGGAACATGTGATACACAACATTACAGTCAATCTACCTACCAGCCAGTCTTGTGTGTTCACATCTGCACCAGCTGCCAGTAAAGCTGATGCATTTTCATGGTGGCCATTCTGAGCTGCCTTGTGTAGGGGAGTCCTTCCCTGTAAACACAATGAGATGGTCTTCAGTATGGCAACAGGACAGATCAGACTGGAGCATATTATTGTTGACATTATAACTTAGCTGTTAGGTCTTCACTGTATGTGCCATTCCATACGGTACTCCAGGAACATGTGATGTACAACAACAGTTTATCTACCTGCCTGTCCCGTGTGTTCACATCTGCACCAGCTGCCAGTAAAGCTGACACAATTTCATGGTGGCTGTTCCTGGCTGCCAGGTGCAAGGGAGGCATTAGCTGTAAACACATGAGATGGTCGTGATAGTTTGGTAAGAGAACAGACTGGAGCACATATTTTGGACATTATCAGTTAAGCTGTAAATTCACTGCTATAAGGTGCCATTCCATTATGATACTCCAGGAACATGTGATACACAACATTACAGTCAATCTACCTACCAGCCAGTCTTGTGTGTTCACATCTGCACCAGCTGCCAGTAAAGCTGATACAGTTTCATGGTGGTCATTCTCAGCTGCCAGGTGCAGGGGAGTCATTCCCTGTAAACACAATTATTATGCATGAGAATTCAGTAAGGCAACAGGACAGACTGAAGCATATTATTCTTGACATTATCAGTTAAGCTGTTAGTGTTAAGTCTTCACTGCTATAAGGTGCGGTTCTAGTTGATACTCCAGGAACATGTGATACACAACACAACAGTAAATCTACGTACCCCACTGTGACTGTGCTTTGTGTTCGCATTTGCACCAGCTGCCAGTAAAACTGATACAGTTTCATGGTGGCCATTCTCAGCTGCCAGGTGCAGGGGAGTCATTCCCTGTAAAGTTTAACACATGTGCATGAAAATTCAGTATCATGGCAAAAGAACATTATTTTGGACATAATCAGTTAAGCTGTAAGGTCTTTACCCATTATATGTATAATGTATGGTGGGAAGGTTTTAGAGCCTGAAATGCGTTATACAGGCGTATTGTACCAAAGTCACTATTTCTTTTGGAAATGGTCGGAAACAATTTTCTTGCATTCCTAATGTCTCTATAAGATTCAAATGTGATATCCCGTATGTGATACTCCAGGAACATGTGATGTATATAGAATACAACACGGTATATTCCGTATCGCCCGAGGTACCAGCCCGACCGCGCGTCGGATCGCCCGACGGCCGAAGGCCGGAGGGAGATCTGATCCGCGGGAGGGCTGGGACCGAGGGTGGTGTGGAATACACCGTGTTGTATTTTATTTATGTCATACCCACCCAAGAAAATGCGCCTTTCAATGCGAAATGAGCGAAAATTTGGTGTCCCTAAACCCCAAAAATGCGACAACATTAATTCCAACGTCCGAATTTTGTATTCGAATTTCGAAATCGGTGCACGCCGTTAGGCCGAAACGCGTTCGAATCGTTCCACGGAACATTTGGAAGGCCCGGGCCTTACGCGTAAAGAACCCCCGGGCCGTACCGCTAGTTATCACACGGGCCGGAACACCCGTATCGAACGTAATCGCGGCCCAGGTAGGACATAAAAGTCCTTACCACAACACTCAATATACATGTATATACCTACCAGTCTCTCCCGCACATTCACATTTGCACCAGCTGCCAGTAAAGCTGATACAGTTTCATGGTGGTCATTCTTAGCTGCCAGGTGCAGGGGAGTCATTCCCTGTAAACACATGAGATGGTCTTTAGTATGGCAACAGGACAGACTGGAGCACATTATACTTAACAATGTCATTATAAATTAGCTGTAACTTGTAAGGCCTCCATTGCCAATCAATACGATACTCCAGGAACATGTGATGTACATTGTACAGAAGATGTATTAAACAACCGTTACAGTCAATCTACCTACCTCCCTGTCCCGTATGTTCACATTTGCACCAGCTCCCAGTAAAACTGATACAGTTTCATGGTGGCCATTCTCGGCTGCCAGGTGCAGGGGAGTCCTTTCCTGTAATATTGAGATGGTCTTCAGTATGGCAACAGGACAGACTGGAACATGTTATTCTTGACATTATAAATTTGCTGTAAAGTCTTCCCTGCTATAATGTTTAAAGGTGACATCCTACATGTATATGATACTCCAGAAACATGTGATACACAACAACAGCCAATCTACCTACCTGCCCGTCCTGTGTGTTCACATCTGTACCAGCTGCCAGTAAAGCTGATACAGTTTCATGGTGGCCCTTCCCTGCGGCCTCGTGTACGGTAGCCCTTCTCTGTAAAACATGTGAGATGGGATTTAGAATGGCAACAAGATGAACAGAAGCATACACTGTATTGTTGCCCAAGTATTCAACTACTAGTAGGAGTTTCAGGACTGGAAATACAGGAAATATGCACCTTTAAATAGTGCAAGTAAAATTGGAGCTGTACAGGTTATGATGTCTACCTGCACCCGTTAGCCCATGTATTGGGCTTACACAGAAATGTCTAGTACTTAAACCACGGTGACTGCTGGCACCTTTCTACTGCAGGTCATTGACCTTTCACCTTACACGCTGTATTTAAATTTGTTTGCAAGGAAGAAGAAAATGACTTTATCATGATACAGTTACTGTATGTTTCCCTTCAGCAAATGTAATCATCATGATTTCTTTTAACAGTTCTTAAAGAGGGAAAATTTCATAATGAAAACTTGATGAAAACAACTATTTATCGTTTTTTGATTAAACACCTCTGGTCCATGCTTGGGTGAATAAATTGTAATCCCTAGTAGTAGTAAGAGATTGTAGCAATTACATTCAGGTACAGAGACAAGGTAATGGAAATATAACACTTCCTAATCATAACACTAAATGATAAAAAGAACAATGTTAATATGAAATGAAAGTTTTCTTTCTTTCTGCCTTCATATTTGTATAGCCTATAGGGCATATTTTGCCCATTGTTTGATATGCCTTATGAATGCAAATCTAACTTTACTACTACGTACCCTCTCCTTTTCTTCATCCATTATAGATTAACATTTGGGAAAGTTCTGTGACAGCAAGAACTGCAATGTTTGTCTTTTCTGTAAAAAAAACACCAAATTTTAAATCTACACACACATAAACAGCCAAACACACACACACACACACACACTCACACACACACACACACACACTCACACACACTCACACACACACACACACACACACACATACACACACACACATACATACACACACACACACGCACACACACATACACACACACACACGCACACACACGCACACACACACACACACACACAAGTTGTACACATTTAACGTTACATGTCGATCTTACCGCATATAACGTTATAGTGCGTTCTTCCTTACTGCACTCGAGAATACACAGGAAAAGCCATAGCGTCCTTTCAACATGAACTGTGTGTATTTGATTGACCAAAGTTCAACTTGGAAGAACTCACCACCGACATGTTTGAGCAAGAGAAAGGGAACAGGTGGCCGGTGGGGAGGGGGGTAGGTAATGGAAATCTATCTGGGTCCTAAATTATAAAACCAGGCAGAAAATAGGTCCATAATCCGATCTAAGAAGTTCTTCAAATCATCATTTGCGGGAAAATGTCCTTGAAAATCTGAAAGGAATGCCTTACCTGAGTGATTTTTTGCCCTAAATTGGCACTTCCTCTAAAGTTGTTCGCAAAGTCCAAAGTTTCGGTGCAATCTCGTACCCAGGATAGTCTATGCGGAGTACCCTGGGTACGAGTTTGAAGACTGATCACCCAAGTCCTTCCGCGAAAAAAATAGTGCGAGGCAACTAAGCGGAGGGTTTTTTTTATGATCCTGAATTTCGTTTTCGTATTGATTTTTGTATACTGAAAATGAAATAATTTGTAATATGACTTAAATGCTTAGTATTTGGCAGACAAATCGTTTTTGAGTTCCTGTCAAAGCCTTAGCCTCTACCAGACTTTAGAGGCGGCTGGAAAGAATAGAAGTGTACCAAGTAGTAGAGATCAAATAGATAAGTAGATAACTAAGTCCAAGTTCCCTACTGAACAAATACTAGTACATGAAGGATTTAAAACGATTCGTTCCCACTATGTAGTATTGGGTGGTTAGCATGATTTCGCAGTTAGTATAAAAAAATGTTTAGCCTCGTCAGACACTGCAGACAGGGTATTTAACTTCACAGTGTGTCCAAGAATCCCAAAAAGCTTGAAAAAGGGAACTGAACGCTGGCGACTACTAGTACATTTTGTATATAGGGATGTGTAATAGGTAGACTGTCGTTGTTTCATATCCCGCTAGGGGTCCTCACTGCCACGTGGGAGCAATTAGACCTGCAACTATATTTTCAGTCGTCTTGTACTGCATATTCAAGGACAAGGTACATGTAGTTGACAACCACTGCCAGCTCGGAAAGTCTTGATTCCTCGTCAACTCCTTGGAACTAACTTAAAGGAAGGTACATTATTTTATACTATACAATATGCAAATAAAATGTCAAAGCACACAATAGTTTGGACACTGTTTAAAGCTAAAACTCTTGATCCAACACAAAAAGTTCTCTCGCTTAGAGCTTTTAACCAGTTTTAAACACTAATATGAAATGACACTTTCCAGCATTTAAGATCAAAAGATGTTACAAGTGAAGATTTCAAACCTGAGAAGTTTTATTGTCTGTTTAATGCATCTTATCATACAAGCCAAATAAATGTATATAAAACGTTTCCTTTCGACAATCACATGAATGAATAGTTATATATAACTCCTGCCCTCTTTCTTATTGTACCTTAATTAAGAGGCATATTTGAGTCGCAAAGTACAAATGATTCATTTCAAATGTCTGATCTTTTCCTTGTTCATTTACTCAAAGTAACTGACATTTTATGTCGTCATCGTTGTATTCTACGTCATCGTCCTCAGAAGTGTCGACGTCATCAGAAGCGTCGGAATACTGACTTTGGTTACTATGGCAACGCGCTTCATTGTGTGTCAAGTCGTCACCGCTTTCTTCTGTCTCATCCGTGAGTTCTAAATGTCTCAAGGTCAAAACCGTCCCAAGGACGTGATCTGCGCATGCGCCAGCATCAGCGGCGTCCTGCTGACGACGTGGAGCATGCTGGGAGTCTTGATGACGTATGTGAACCAGGGCTTCCCGCGCATGCGCAGCCGAGGGACGATCTACAGGCTTGTACGCCAGCATGGACAGACACAGGTCTTTCAGGGGGCTTCCCGACGGTAGTGACGTCATCAACCGCCTGTACAGGTTCAGCTCTGGATTCTCAATAAGAGCTTCAAAGATCGGTTCACCTTTTATAAGCAGTCCCAACTTTCCTCTTGCGACGGTTGTGAGGTCTATAAGAGCGGCAAAAACTACCCCCATAGAAAACACGTCGCATTTTTCGGTATAAGGAGGTTGCACGACTTCGGGGGCTACGAAACATGGCGTGCCTTTACCCGAAACCAACCCCCCTGGCGCCCCACCCCCTGTTACGGCCGTGTACAGCTTCGCCAGCCCAAAATCCGCGATTTTCGCCTCCGGGCACCACGGTCTACCCGTGAAGAGGATGTTCGCGGGCTTGACGTCACGGTGGACGATACCATTCTCGTGCAGGAAGGCGATTCCCGCCGCTACTTGTCTCATGATTGACAGGTCCAACGCACGGTCGTAATCCTCCGACAGGACGAAACCATCCATGTCACCCAGGGGACACAGCTCCAGCACAATCCACATGGACTTCTGCGATATAAAGGCCTGGTAGAACCTGACAAGATACGCAAAAAAAAAAAAAAAACGTTACTCAAGCAACTGGATATTAGCCTGGTTACCAAACCTATTATAGCTCCCGAGTCCAACAGCCTCTACGAGAGACTGTAGGACTCGGGAGCTATAATAGGTTCGGTAACCAGGCTAACTGGATATGATATTGGAAACGGTCAGAAGTTTCAGGTAGCATCCACTACCTTTTGTCAGTGACACTGGAGACTTGTCAGAAAGGCAGGTTTATAAGCAAGTAAGCAAGATAGAACTATTGATTGATATCTGTATCTGTACCAGTATAGTCGGTATAACTGACTTTCGGCACGCGGTGTAACACACCAGCTTCTGTATCTGTACAGCCAGTATAACCGCACCGTTCCGTATAACACACCAGTTTCGCAGGCACTCGGCACGGCAAATAAATGAAGACATTTTTTCGAAAGTCCAAAAGGACACAAAAGTTAGACAAGTCAAGACAAGGATGATGCCAACCTGACAAGCTGTTTATGTTTCAGCTTGCTGAGAGCTAACAGTGGTTCTAGTTCTGCTGCAGCGCTTTCCTCCCCAACAGCCCGCAAACGGCCGACGGAATGAAGCGAGCGAAACGCCAGCCAGTTTGCTCTCCGACTGCTCTTCAGCTGTATCTGCTTTATAGCGTATTCAGCCTCACCTAGTCTTGCCTCGTAGACTTTACCAAACTCTCCTTGACCGAGGGCGCGCGTTAGTTCGTACCCTCGGATGCTTCCGGGCGAATCTTGTGCCCTCGGTCCACCGCTTGTATCATGCCTGGTTGGTTTGTAGGCTTTTGGTTTTGCTCCAGGCCACTTTTCCATCTTACTTGCTCCGAAATAGTTAGTAGTTTGCCAGCAAGCCCTAACTCTGCAGTAAGGTTGTTCGCGAAAGTCAACTATGAAAAGGCAAAAACCATTGAAGGCGTTCAGTATTTAATCTTTATTTTCTTTCCCTCTGGACGTTAAAACAGAATCATTCAATGGACTTTTGTTGTAAACATCAACAGATTGCTAGGGCAATGGTTGTGTAAGAGTGGCCTTTCTTTGTTCGCACTGTTAATGTGTGTTCTGTATTGTTGTTTATTGACCACATGGCAACCACTGGCTCTGTGGTAACCGGGCACCAATAAAAGCTACGGACGCATTTAAAAACACGAGGATTATATTAAATTCAGACTTCAGAAACATACACAAACATGCAAACAAACATACAAAGTCTACACGTTACTCCTTAGAGTGAAGTAATTAAATGTAACGTATATAGCTCTTCGACTAAGGTTTTACTAGTACACAGAGTATTCAGAAAACTGAGTATGGCGACTACCAGGGGCTAGCTACATACACTTAACACGAACGACACCATGCGGGTCAACTACAACTGCAGCCACCGGAAGCTCCGCCCTTATACGCCCCGCCCTACAAAATAAACACCTCCTACCTGTGACCTTTATCCCGGAAGCGCTTCTCAACCCGCTGACGTCATAACGGAACCTTGCCAAACGGGACTCTCTCGAGCCGAATGTCGGACGGTTGTCGCGCACCTCACAACTCAAGATGACACCGGGAACGTTTACGTCGACGTTACTTCACCTTCTCATCCTCACCTGTTGCGTCACGTCAGGTGAGTCGACGTACATACGCCACGCACGTACACACCTTGTAAGGGGTACACCTGTCACTAACGGTAGGGACGCTAGCGTCACCTTAGCGTAAAACATGCCACCGCCTTTCTTTACGGTATAACCCCTTAAGCTTAACTCCTAAACGTACCGGGCGCTTTTCAACCATATCATTGTGTACCGTTAACTTGTCAGACAGCTACTTTAAAAGCTAGCCTTATAGAGAGGGGCTACGTGTGTACTGTGGAGTGTTACAGTGTCTGTAGCCTCTGTAGCTTAACGCTGTTTGCGAACAAACAACTATTTAACATGGTGGTGTCTACTTGCTGTACTTGCACGTTTCTTTTTTTTTTTCTCCGCGGCCACACAACAAGGACGTGTGAACGGTTGAGTTAAACAGAGAAGGTTTTCGCGAGGACGCGGGTCGGAACTTGAGGCTTTTTCTAGATCAATATCTAAATACCAACCTTTTTAACATGGCGGGCGGGTGTTTAGGGCTGGAGCCGGACCCACTAAAAAGGTCGTACGAGTTATCATAACAGAACTAAACATGTCTTTTCTATTGCGTTAGTGTGACTACTGTATAGTGCTTTGAAAAAAGAACTTTATTTCAGTTGTAGTGTCTGGCGTTACAGATAGTAGTAAACGTTTTATAGAATTTGAACGCCTTGCCATTTGGGAACGTGTTTGGTGTAAAAGTTACATGCGAGGGTGTTAATATATAAACTAAAACAAACATTTTGTTGTCCTTTAGTCACAATGCTAATTTGCAGCGCCGTTTTTGTCTTGTAATACCTGGTAAGAAATGATAATCTATGAAACAAAGAACTAAAATAGCATTTGCTGCTCTGAATCAGAGTGAGTCGGTAAAATTTGTACACCAGAAATATCGTCATACATTTGAAAACATCTACAGAAATCGATACAGATACAAGTATTGGAGATCGAAAGAGAAATATACTTGTGTAAAGCTTTATATTGCTAACTCTGACAATATGTGATAGAAAATGAAAGCAGTAATGTTCTTTTCAACATTTAAGATCCGCTTTCCTATCTTTTGTTTCCCCAAAACAGTTTTTTTTTTTAATTCCAACATGTAATCACAAGACGTGGTGACGGCACACTCAAGTTTTTTCAACTTATATTAATGCCGACACCAACACGGGACAAATACATGACAGGACAATACTCATAAATTTCACGTGGGTGAAGTGAGGAAAGTCGTGTGAAGTGCCTTTCCCATGGCCAAGGGCACAAGATCGGTGGCATGTCAGGACTCGAACCCGGGACCTCTAGGTTCCGAGTCCAAACCAGTTAAAAATCGGGTTTTTGTTGCGTCAGCCCACGCTTATGTAGACAGGAGAGGAAATATGAGTCATGATGAGGAGTTTTCAGCGTACTTCAAGCGTTTCACTAGTCTGGTTTAACTTCCCCTGTACTCTCAGCAAGGCACGTAGCCTGGTGCCGTTATCACTGTTCTCGTTAACAAAATAACTACTGTTTAAACAATGTAACTAGTGATAACCCTTGTCCTGCTGGCATTCCTGGCACAATATTTTTCAATATTTTCATGTCTTAATTAGATAAAAAAAAAACAAAATTTTTTTGCCCTGCAGTGGCATAGTTACTTCCGCATTCGTTGCGTTTCGCAGCGGTGTAATGCGTTGCACGAGAAATACCCCCAAATCGTACCTATGCAGGGTGTTATATAGATGGCACTGAATGTGCCGCGCAACATATGTTGCGCACAGCAGGACAAGGGATAATAACAATATATAATTGATGTAAAGTTAAACATCGTTTCGTGTATATACATTTGATTTGTTCGTGCTAGTTCAAAATAAAAATGGTGAACAGTTAAGTCGAATTTCTTTCCCTTTGTGTCGGAAAAAAGTTTCAAATTTACCACGAAGACAACGACGTCATCCCCTGTGTTTATATAGTTTTCTTCCAAGAAATCAAGGTGTTGTTTTTCACCAACCCCTTTTAAACCTCCTTGGTTGAACACCGCAACTGTTAGCGATGTGTATTGTTGGTTCACACCTAATTTGCAGGTACTAATTGACTTGTTTGACTTGCATTCTAACATAGGTGATTGTATGTTTTTCTAACAATTCATCAAAGTCGTTACCACCAGTTTACCAAAGCGTGACAAACAGTGGACTACTATACAGTCGCCTGTCGACTAATTTCGGATTCTTGTCATGTACAACTTCGGCGTTGTTCAAACTTTTTTCTTTCTGTCACTAACTTGTAAGACTACACCTGTCGCTACTTTGATAATACACAACTGGGTGTATTGTATTCTACCGGAAACAAGATGGCCGACATCCTGATGTCTACTGAACATGTATAACGCTCGCATTGGCAAATATGAGATTAAACAAGGTACCTAATTGGCTAATTTAAACATCCAAATATCAAAGTACTAAGTACTGTAACATGATATTTTTATGATACCAATCGGTAGCTCTGATAGTTCAATTGTAACTTTATAGACCATTTTCTTTTGACAGCAAAGAAGTACTAAGTAAATTGAATGCAGTAACAACAGTGCAATTGAAGAACTGAGTTCATTTCTTAGAAGGCTTTTGAAAGAATATGCCCATGCAAGATTTTATAAAAGAAACTAAATTGACAAAAGTACAGACATAAAATTCAGTATTTTTCGGGGAGGGATGACTCATAATTGTGTGTTTTCCCAGTGGTCATCAGTTTGTTTGGTTTGTTGAGTGGGCAGTTGTTTGCGTTGGTCAACGGAACTGGCCACTGGACTGTCAGGTGATCAAATAAACAAACAAATCATCTTTAAAAGAACCAGGCCTTTCAATTCTCTATAAACTTTTATTATTACGTGCATATTAGACTTGAAAATAACAAGAAAATTATGAGTGCTAATACTAAATACTCTACAACTATTCTGTCATTGGTCGAACTGCTGATTGCCATGCTATCATTGGTTGAACTGCTAATAGACCGTTCCAGATCGAACACGTCGAACCCACTGTTCTATATCGAACAGTTCCGTGTTCTAAATAGAATAAGGGATTCGACGTGTTCGATCTGAAACGTTCTATTACGATGGACAGTCAGGATCGGTCTATTACCAGTAAGTAGTTGTAAGCTTTTGTGACTTTTAGTTAGCGTACTTTAGTTTTACAGTACAAAAACAAAGGGTTATTGGACCATAAAATTTATGTACACCAGTCTTATAAACTACTAAATGACTCCACCTATACACCCGCTATTTAAGTAACGAAAAGTCCCTAAATTTGTAGCCTAGGGGGTCGGTGTTTGGACTGTTGCGTGCCAAGTTATTTGAAGTATTTCAAAGGAGTGAAATCGCAGTTTAAACCCGCTGACACAAAGATCTCTGGGATCAAAAAGAAAACACAAAGACGAGAATAGACCACACAGTAACACCGCATCAACACGTGTTTACTTATTGTCTCATCGGCTGACGATGTGATAACATCCAAACGAACTAATCAAGGAATACAATGACACATGGATAAAGTTTAGAGTGAGATCTTTAGAGAAAAATCTGGAACTTATTTCCAGACGGCTTTGTCATTTCTTGGCAACGTTACCAAAGGCGGTAACTTTTAAAGTTAACCCTTGACATTTAAACGCTACATTACCTAAACTCGCGTTGCTTGGACGACGCTACAAAATGTTTTGATTTCGTTCTTTTAGGACTGAAATTCTAGTCGAGAATAAATGTCAGTCAAAGGAGAGAGTTCAGCCGGCCAAAATTAGCCTCAACCAGGCTTGAGAAGTGGCTGGAAAGAGTAGCAATTGGCCAAATAGACGGATAACATGCCAGGAGAGTTGGCTTGCAAAAGGAATAGCAAACTGTACTCTTTAGCGGACCAACTCCCCCGGCATGTTATCTGTTTATTTGGCCAATTTCTACTCTTTCCGGGCGCCTTCCGAAGCCTGGTAGAGGCTAGGCCCAAACGACCGTTCCATAATATTTGTACACTTTACTGGACAGAACGTTAACACATGTGGCACATGGCTGCCATTCTGTGGGCATATTTCAAACTGTACAGGACGGGCAAGGGTCGAGGGCTACTATCCAAGCACGGATCTTTCCACCAAAACAAAATTTGTTCTGTACATTCAATATCATCAATTACTAAGTACATGTATTTGACTTTCCCAAGTTGTATGAATAAAATTGGCAAAATCCACATACATAAAACGTGTTTTAGTGTTTGTCTGTGATGTTTGGTTACGTCAAATCTGTTGGTATACATTTGCTTCTTTTTTAAATGTGATTATTTCCTATGTTGATTTAATTTATCATGTGTTGACAGCAAGTATTGCTGTACTATTTAATGCTATAACCGGTTTACCATAACCACATATAACAGACAAACACTAAACATGCTTTATGTATGTGGATTTCGTCACCTTTATTTATACAATTTGCGAACATCAAATATTTGTAAACGTTTCATACTTACACATTACCATACAACAGCACTGTTGTTTTATCAGTTACATTTTAGTTTATTTTTCTCACGTATTGGAAGCAGTCTTTTATTTTCTGTCATACCATATAGCCATCGAAATCTCATATATAGAAAGTTACAGTTTTCTCTTTACCACATTTTATATCTTGTAACGTCTGCAAGTGCAAGAATATGTATTGAATATAGGTCTCCGTTAGATATTAAAGTAGTTCCATTCTTTGACATTCTTTGACTTTTAACGTCTCTTTTTGCAAGGGAAAAATGTGAAGAAAAGGTACTGATTCGTTCAAGCGTTTTAATGGAATTGTTCAGGCAAACTTGCAAAGAAAAGAAAAAATTACAAACCAAGTCTTTGTGGCAAGAAAAAAGTGTGAAGTGAAGACGGATTGTTTTGTAACGTAATCTCTCCCTGCCCGTGACAGAAAACGTTTTGCCCAGATCCGTGCCCACATTTCTGTCACCCGATCTGTACTCCGTGTGTTCACCTGGTTTACCTTCCCTCCTACCTTACCTTTCCCCGA